TTGTTATTCTATAATAATGATTAAACACATTTATTATGTAGCAAAATTATTTACTGCAGAGTTTATTAACTAGATGTTAAAATTAAAGATAGTGAAACATTCGTGTTTGTATATAAAAAAACGTGTAGCTCATGTGTTTTGAAGTTAGATAGACTGAACATGTCACAATGAATCAGAGTGAAATGCCTCCATGATGTTAATGAACCACAGATCGAAATGAAAAGAACGTCTATATGCTGCATACTGTCCTACGGAAGTATATAAACATTTTTGTTAAATGTATGCAATTAAATATATGTTGAAATCTGTGCAAAATTCTTAGTAACATTGGACATTTTTGTAAAGTACATGTAATACAAATGAATATATATAATTGAAAACAAGAACGTAAATTGTATTCTCATTCAAATAATGTATAACAGATTTGTTGACATCCTACGGACAGTAAGTTTGTCGTTAAAATAATGGTTTTAACATAATAAAGTCTAGACACTGATGACATACTCATATGTAGAAGTAGAGTGTCCACCCTTGTAAAACTCGTGTAATATACAATTATAAATTATCATGTGTAAAATGAAATATTTTGTCAAGTTGTATGGATAGCATAAAGTCAAACTAATGAAGCAGTAAATTTTTAATAACTGCATGACATTTAAATAAGCATCTTTTTCAGAATAATTTAAATATAAATGTAATTAAATATTGAAGTAACGAAACAGTGTTAAGCAACATTGCTTAAAGTCATTTTCGAAATATTATAATATGAGATTTTTAAATAATAATTAGATAAAAGTGTATAATGAAATCTCACACATTTGACATGTTCATGTAGTTTTTAAAAAGTAGAATTGAATCGATTTTCTAAAACTACAAAGTAACATAAAATTAAATATGTTGTCAAGTTATATGGATAGCATAAAGACAAACTAATGAAACAGTAAGTTTTAATTATTGCATGATATTTAAATAAGTGTCTTTTTCTGGACGATTTACAGGAAATTTAATTAAATATAGAACCAATGAATTGGTGTTTTAAACCGATTGTATTAAATCTAGACATGTTAAGACACGTTGTTATATGTTGTGTGCGTCATTGTCTCTGACATCACGGTCGACTTTCATGGTGGCCTAGCAACGCGTCCTCTTTCATGACATCACTGCTAATGCCAGCGTCCTCTGGTTGAAGTGTAACTATGACTCTACCCCCCCCCCCCCGAGGTCAACACATGTTTAGTGCCCTCTAACGGTGTGTTGCCCTAACTACTTTGGAAGTTTAGAAATGATAGACTAGAAAGAAAGCAGCTAGATTCAACATCATCCACTGCCAGCTATTGGACTAATTTTGTCTGATCGAAGTGGGATTTTAAAGTCACTCTTATAACGCACCCACTACACCAAAGTGCGGAGGGCATTGTTTTTCGTTTAGCGGTAACGAGATGGAACCGCGGAACATAAGCTTCACAATCCGGTACGCTAACTAACCATTAAGCTGGGCTCAACCGATCTTGGAGCAAGTCATAAGTCCCACTAAACTTTGAGACAAACAATTTTCTCAAAGAAAAACAACAACAACAACAGACATACAGGAAGACGGTGTAGAGGGTGACGGATAGTTACAGACAAACAACGTTATTCGATTTTTTTTTTTCAGAAGTATTACAAAATTAACATTGCAAATTAGGATTGACAAGAATTGCTTCACTATATGGTTAAGAAGAATTCAGTAAGCAAGAAATGGCCTGGATATTGAATGCAATTACTTGAAATTTCTTCCTATTAAAAACATTTTTAGTAACTCTATATTTAAATAAATTACATAGCACAAATGTTGATTGAAAAAACCTCTGTTTTTGCGTTTAAGTTAAATATCATGATGAGTTATATGTAGCAGAATGATTTTACCAACAGCACAGATTTAACGGTCTGAAAATAAAATCAATTTTCAACTCACTTTATTAGAATAAATCATTAGTTCGGGTAACTAAAAAAACTTTTCCTGGAAGACACTTAAAAAGCCTAAGAACATCTTTAAGACAATGCAATTAGTATGTTTTGAACTTTCTTGAACTGTATAGCTTATGTTATGTTAATAACTGAACTATGGAATTTCATCCCAAGGATATGAAACCTATCAACGTATCATTTACACAGATCTTGACATTGTTTCAACCCACTTGTCTGTATAAGTATCAAGCAAAACGGTTCAACGAATGTGGTAGCAAGTATAAATCTTTAATCCAGATTTAAGCTCCAACGAATATAGTAGCAAGTATAAATCTTTAATCCAGATTTAAGCTCCAACGAATATAGTAGCAAGTATAAATCTTTAGTCCAGATTTAAGCTCCAACGAATATAGTAGCAAGTATAAATCTTTAATCCGGATTTAAGCTCCAACGAATGTAGTAGCAAGTATAAATCTTTAATCCAGATTTAAGCTCCAACGAATGTAGTAGCAAGTATAAATCTTTCATCCAGTTATAAGCTCCCATGTCTTCGAATATTATACCGACATCTTTATCATCTAATTAACTGGTAGTTTTGTTCAATGTTCACCCTCGTTCCACCATAATAGTCTTTATTATATTTTAACACCATATTCCAATACATTATTGGAAAACCTTCATACGACATTTTGAATGTGTTCCAATGTGGCTTAAAACGAACTAAGTCACTTATTCAACCAAGTTTTTTCAGTAAGAATTTTTTTTTCCTGGTGGACCTGGTGAAATTTATTATCGAATAAAAAAATATTTTCTCAAGACCGACACATTTGCACGTTTTTTTTTCTCATTATTATTATTATTAAGGATGCCAAGCACTACCAGTAGTTAGCGTACTAGTCTGTGGAGTTGATGTTCCATGGTTCGCATCCATCATAGGTGTGATATAAGAGTGACGATCAAACCCCACTATTTGTTCTGACAAGAGCAACCCATAAGTTGTTGATGGGTGGTGTTGACAAGTTGCCATCCTCCTTGTTGATCGTTTCAAATTTAGGGACGTTTAGCGCAGCTAGCCCTCGATTACCTTTACGCAAAATCCAACAAACAAACAAATAAACTTTTTTACAACTACGTTAATAAATTTAAAATATTTCTAAAGATATCATTTCCATAAAACTACCCTGTATAAACTGGACTATAAACATAGTAAGTTTGCTGTGGCTTTTGAAGTTATGTTTAATGAACTGTGATTTTTTTCAGGAATTAAAAAGGTCTGTACCAAGAATAATATTTGAAGCTACAAAAGTAGGTTTGAATAAAAAATAAATACTTATGATAGCAAACAATCGTCCATTTTTCTGACAATAAAGTACAGAAAAAAGGTGGTTTTGACTCTGACTTGAGAATGCCCTAAAAATGTTCTATCCTGAGTTGTTTTAAATCAATATTTTTGAAGAATTAATTTGTTTGTTTGTTTTGAATTTCGCGCAAAGCTACACGAAGACTATCTGCGCTAGCCGTCCCTAATTTAGCAGTGTAAGACTAGCGGCAAGGCAGCTAGTCATCACCACCCACCGACAACTCTTTGACTACTCTTTTACCAACGAATAGCGGGATTGACCGTCACATTATAACGCCCCCACGGCTGAAAGGTCGAGCATGTTTGGAGTGACGGGGATTCGAACCCGCGACCCTCAGATTGCTAGTCGACGCCCTAACCACCTGGAATTAATTTGTAGTTATTTATATTGTCTATAAAACAAAATTGTGTATAATAGGCTCGAAAATATTTGCTATATATATATATAATGTTTTTTTAAGTAACTTTGGCAAAAAAAAAATGTTTGTTTCTGAATGTATCTATGTAATTATTGCTGTGACCTAAAGTACGTTACACCTCTGGATAGTTTAATTTACAAAAAATATCCAGTAATATAAAAATTGTAACATCAGCACAAGAGACTGATTAGCTTTTCTTGTAAATAATGAAAGTAAAATATCTTTCAATTTCTCAGCTTATTGCATTGTGTTTCTGAAGAGCATTTTGTAGGTACATACGTCATTCTTAAAGCTTTCAGCTTATGAAAACACATATAATAATAATAAGCAGACACGACATGCTTGAAAGAATAACCTTCAACTCATCATGATACGTTCGTGAACGAAGACTAATGTCAAAGTGTTGTCACGCGTAATTTTTTCATACAACGTATAATATATATATATATATATTTAGATTTCATTCTGTCTTAAAAACTTTTAGGGAATTAATGACGCGAAAAATTCACCAAACAAGTGTTCTAACAAAAACAATTATTAGTTTCTGTAAGCTAACCAATTTCCGGTGTTGAGGTTTTTGCTTTTCATTAAAACCAACAAATAATGTAATTTCCTAGCTCGCCAAATTTCTCTCTCTCTCTTTCCTAAAGATAATTGCTTATTTCGTCGGCAATTTAATAGTTTCGCTTGGTTTCCTCCCCCTTGTTGATAAACGATGTTCTATGTATCTAAGTTCAATTTCAGGCTGAAATATTTTTGAATTACAAGGATAAAATATAAAAAAATATTACTGTGTTCTAAACAGCTATATATATATATATATATATTGTTAATTAAGTTCATTTCTTATTATCTGGAAAGTAAAAGTATAAAGACGAGAACTGCTAAGGTAAACAGAGACAATGCAGAAAACTGTCCTGGTTGAGATATGGCCGAATGAATGGTTATTAAGTACTTTTACTGACGTCAAATGCAACGTATAATGTGAAATAGTGCAAAATAATTTCGTCTCTAAAGAAAATAACTTGCTAGAATTAAATGTTATATTCTATCTATTTATCCATCCATGCAAACACTTATAGTTTGTTGAAACAATCTAATTATTAAACACGAAATAATTTGGTCCCCAGTTAACCTTCTTAGGACGTCGGTTTCACACTTTTTACGTAGATCTTTCCAAATGAAATTGCCACATTAGAAATGTAATGATAGCGGAGAATAAAGTTTTAGTACATTTAAAAATAAGAAAACATACAAAATCAACGTTTACTTACAGGTGGGAATCAGCCATCCTCGAGTCTTCGTGGGAGCCCTCTCGTACGAGACTATAAATGAAAGAAAATCATCAACTGTACAAGTGTTCTCTATTCTCAGCAGGCTCTAAACTCAAACGACTTCCGCTTTCGCACTGCTCACGTTGCTGAAGATCAAACTTCAAAAAGAAATAGAAGTCTCTAGAATTACGCAACAATAAAGGTTAAAACATCAAGTAGTTCCTGTTCGTTTCTGAAGCACATAGGAACGAATGAACAAAAATATTCGGTGCTCATTAAACTGAAGATGTTTAATTAATTGAATCAAAAAGGAAATAAAACTGTACTGTAATACCTATTTATCCATCGAATGGACAAAATGACACGATCGTTCGCTTCAGCTCTGTATTATCAGGAACAAGTAGAGCGTGGGCATAACCAGTGTTGATAATATATTACTAATTTAGAAACTCAGTTAGAATTAGTCATGGATCTGAAAGCCACCTTATGTGCACAGGGATAAACGGTCGTATCAGAAACCCATAGAATTCAGGTATAGCTGTTCCTCCCTGTGAACTACTGATCAGATAGTAAACAACTAACTAGCAGCACCCGCTTCAACAACGGATTTTCCAGCTGTTCGAATCGAATAACGTGTTTAAATATTGCTTTTATAACGCGTCCACAGCGAATAGTGTGGACGGTATTTAGCAACATCATCTCTCAAAATGTTGACATTCCGATACGCAGTCCAACATGCCATACTAATCTACAGTTGAATAAATGCACTTGTGTCTTCGTTTCATTTTTCTATACTTTCTATATTTCAAAACTCTGCTACGTAGCCTACTGATTAATTAAAATAGCATAAAAATATAAACCTGTTCTTTTCCTGGTTGTTTTCTTGATCAATAATTTTAAGAATAAAGAAATAATAATTTCAGTTTATTTCTCCTTTTGAAATTTTTACTTCTATTTATTACAGTAAACATGAAATGAAGTTACACATTTCTTACTTCTTTGATTTATATCATCATGAGTAATAATCTTGCAAAATGTTAAGAGAGCATATTCTTAGTTCTTTCGAGAATTTTCTTTTTCGTTATTTTATAAAATTTATCAGTCCTTATCTTACAACATTCTCTGGACAATAATAATTTTCTGCAATATTTAACTGTACCCCACCTATTACTTATTTTTTAATTGTGTGGTTTATCATCATCGATGTGGGTACATTATTCAAGTGCTCTTATTATATATAAACAAGTAATATTGTGACTGATAAAAGTTTTAATTCTCGGATAAAGAATAGTTTATATTTTATTGTATTATTATACGTAACACTCAATTTATTTTTGAGTAACCTAGTTAGGAGGTTTACAAAAACGTATATTTAATCAGTCATTCGTTTTGCTGTGAGACGTTAAAACACATAAAGTTTGAACTAGATCGCCAAAAAAAATGTAAAATGCAAAACTTCGCGGATCTTTGCCATAGTTAAATGTGTTTTACAAAGGATCAATGCACATAACAAACATATATAAACACGACTGTAAGAATCGAGTTTGAGACATTCTTCCAAAAACCTATTAAATATAGGCTCTATTTGTAAGCCAAATATACAAGATATTTCTAAGTATGCACACACACACACATTATAAACAATAACATTAAAGGAGTTGATTACTACCTATTCTGCTACATCGAATACTCTCATGGCAATGTTTTTAGCATTCTACGTGATGGAAAATTTACTTTTTACAAACCAAAACTACATACATGAGAACGTCAGATTTATTGTATGTATTACATATACCGTATACGACAAACATTGATGTATTCAAATTCGATGACGAGGAACCCACTTTGAGACTAATAATGGC